GGAAGTAGTTTGTCACTCTTTTTTCCTAGTCTGTCTTCATCTGGAAGCTCATCTGAAACCTTTTCATCATGGGTGACCCTGCTGATATTTAAAATACCAATGGCATAGCTTTCAGAATCACAGCAACTCACAAGCCACCACAGTGCGACAAACTTGATAGACAAGTGGTTCAATTTTTACAGGAGCAGAAAGCCTCATTGCGGAACGGCTGGTAGTTTCTAACTGCTGACCTTGAGGTTAGCAGCCCGACTCGTAACTACTGTGCTCCCAGAGCTCCTTTCACCTCTTCATACTGCCAGTTAAAAACCAAAACCATCACCTGAGGGAGACAATTTAAAGCTGCGTTGTGGTATAGATGAGTGTGAGAACTGACTCTACTTACTCTCTGAACTCTGGTTGCCATTCTGTAAGTCAGACATAGGAGTCACATAGGAAGCACTTAAACACCTAAGTGCACCTCCCCTCTGCCATTGTCTGCTACCAGAACACTCTGTCAGGAGCTCTTCCTGCCCTTCTTCCCTGTGGCCCAGGTGGTGTGTGATGAGTGTGGCTCCAGGGGCTTCGGGTTTGTCCATTTTGAGACTCATGAGGCTGCGAACAAGGCCATCAGCACCATGAATGGGATGCTTCTCAATGACCGCAAAGTGTGAGTAACTGGGCACAGGGGAGGGACCAAGGCAGTCGGATGGAACCACAGCGCCACCAAGTGGGGACCAGTGTCATCTACCATCCTCTTTTACGTAGCAGGCACTGAGCAGCAGGTGGCGTTGCCTCCTGGCAGTGTGGCCTTAAACAAGTTACTCAAAGTCCTTGGAACTTGTTTTCCGCCTGTGAAAATGGAGCTGATGATAAGCCTTGGAGGATGGCTTCTGGCTAAGTCATCCGTGGGCTCCTGCTCCAGCATGGCTGTCAAGTTTTTCTTATCTTTCTTGGTGTCTCAAAGGAGATTTTGATGGGAGGTCTATGGCATTGTGGGTTAATGCACTAGACCACAAGGTTGGCGGTTCAAACTCAACCAGCTGCTCCTCGGAAGCCCTATACAGGGTCGCTATGAGTCAGAATTGATTTAACGGCACTTAACAACAACAAATATATATTCAGCCTGCTAGCTTCAGTTATGTGTGGTACCATCCGCATTTCACAGATGGGAAAACTGAGACACAGATCCTGGAGAGAATCTCCTTCCTGGCAGTCTACCCCCCCAACCCCAGTTTAGTTTTTGTTTTGTTTTTTAAATATGCAGACTCCTTTATTAACTCTTAAACAGTACACAGACAAGATACATTCAAATCAGAATGAGGTAGACCATAAAAAGCATGAGGCCATAATGCTATACAAAGGACTCATAGACATGTGGCTAATTATATTGTAGTTGCTTGCCTGAGTCAGTTCCAACTCAGTGACCCTGTATAGGTGGGTTTGAACTGCCGATCTTGTGATTACCAGTCTAGTGCTTATCCTACAGCACCATACCAGTGAGACAGGGGAAAAAGAAGGTTCAGAAATCAGAATAAAATGCAGGCCACTTATTGAAATCTTGAGGAAGGTTGAGGCCTACATCCTACTTTCTTTGGGCAATTGTAAAGATATGCTGCACATGCCCAGGGCGACAATTGAGCAACCACATCCTAAGATAAGCCATTAAGAAAGATACTTAGTACAAACCTGTAGCAGCCCCTAAAAACTGAAGGAGACTAAGGCAAAGGTAAAGGAGCCTGGGGCACTGTGGGTTCAAACTCACCAGCTGTTCTGCTTAAGGAATATAAGCCCTAAAAACTGTAAACGGGGAGTCTAGCTTAAGAGTGTGTGGCAGAAGATAGAGACCCCACTGAATAATTTTCATCCTGTCTAGACAGGTCCCGCGAAAGAGGTGGGGACAAGACCCCCATGATTCAATAGTGAGCAATTGCTAGCACGACTAACTGCGACGGTTACAACTGCAAAGGCAGAAGTTCTGCAACAAAAACGGGGAAGTAGTTAATCCTACAGTCCAGAAACAGAGGACCCTAAGACCATCAAGGGAGAAGAGCCCCATTATAGTTTCTAATTTCAATTTTTGTTTTGTGTTGTCTTAAAGCTTTTATTGTGAATTGAGTGGTAGTTTACAAAGGAGAACATCAGTTTTGCACTCAATTTACCATATTTTGTTTCATTGCAATGATTACAATCCCCTCCATACATCATCACTTAATAGTATTTGCTTTTATTCCTTTTCCTTTTTTTTTTTT